AATGTATACACAAATGGAAATATCAAGTTATCCCATTAATATGCACAAATTCTGTTTTATGTATCAGTTAAAAATAAATTTAATTTTAAAAAGAGAATATTCACTAATTTGATGGGTTCACAAGGATTAAAAGATGTTAATAACTGTTATGATAATACTCAGGGAGAACTGGGGCTTGAATTGGAAATTTGAGAGTCTCATCAAGACTAAATTAAAAAGCACCTAATTATTTTAGATTTCCAAATTCCCTCAGGCTTAAATTGAAGACTAATCTGAGATTAAAACTTGGAAGTTTGGCAACGATTCTAAAAATGTTGTTTGACTCACCTAGTTGGAGGTTTCATTTAAAGTTCTAAAATTCCCTTTGATGCCATTTTTCTCAACACTCTTATTTCAATAGATTAGGAAACTGAGACTTGTGGAAATTATCTACACTGTTCAGGGTATAGAAGCTAGGTAGCAGTTGATCCCATCCCAAACCCACTCTCATTTTAGGTTTCCCAAACTTTAAAATCCCTGAAAGTTTTTTTTCTCCACATTTCACTTAAAGATTTGTACTTCAGCAAAGTTTTATTTCTTCTTATTCAAAACAAAAGCCTAAAATTCCTTGAGTAATTACCTGTGAATGTGGGCAGTAAAGATCAGACCTAAAGATACAGACTTACAAAATAGTATTATTCACATATTTAGAATCATATTAAGAACTATTCTCTCTCTCTCTCTCTCTCTCTCTCTCTCTCTCTCTCTCTATATATATATATATATATATATATATAAATGAAAATCTGAAGAGAATCTTCAAATTGCAAGTCCCTCAACAGGACTATTTTGTGTTTCAAGAACAGGAGAAGGACAGAGTTTCACTTATCTGCATTTTTTTTATTAGTTGCTCTTCTAGGTAAATTATTAGGTGTTCTGAAATGCATTTTAAGGAAAACTACAATAGAGAATGCTTTTAACCACATTTTTAAAATGACTGTCTTCCTGATCCTGCTATCAAAATTAATGCACATCTTGGACTAGGGATGCAGTTCAGTGTTAGAGAGGATGCCTTGCATGTCTGAGGCCCTGGGTTCAATTCCTTCTGACAAAATAAGCAAGCAAGCAAACAAACAAACAAAAAAGAAGTCTCTCAGCAGAACAGTTTTAAGATTCAGTAAGAACATTTAAGTTGGGCTCACATTAGTACATTTAATTCTTTAAAAATATATGAATATATATGAAACTAATAGATATAAAAATGGTAATTCTTTTCCCCATAAGTGAATAATACTGCAAATCATTCACGTATTATTTACAAATCAGCTCCCAATATTTCTACTATTTTAATCTTACAGATCTCTCCGACTTTTTTCTGCTAATTTACTATTGAATCTAACACTGTATCCCTAGTCCCATAGCTATAATGACTTCAAGCATTTTCTCCTAAAATATTTTAACAGTCTCTAAATTGGTTGCCCTTCCAGGGTCTTTCATTTTCCATGCTGTTGTCAAATCTAATAACAGCACTCTATCAGCTAAACACCATCAATGGCTCCCTATGACCCAAAGGATAAATTCCAAATTACATAGCACACAAAGCTTGTCACAGTCTGGCCCCAATTTGCTCTTGTTCATCTAGTGTCATTATCTCCCTCTTATATGACTTCCAGTCATAGCCAAATTGTATAAACCATATGCTGTTTCAAGACCCCATTACATCTTTGCACATGCCATTCCCTCTGTGTGAAGAATCCCTTCTTCTTTTTCCTATAAAGGAACTTTTACTAAACCTCTCAGACTGCTCACTTCCACAAGGCCTTCCCTACTCCTGTCTGCATTTCACAATGTTTTGCATATATTTCTACCCCAATCTAATTTATGTCATTACCTGAATATCACTTTTTCCCCATTGAACTTTGTTTTGAAGACAGGGATTTATTTGTCTTTCAAACTCCAAGGCATAGCATAATGCATGGAACAGAAAGACAGGTGAGTAAATGTTGAATGAATGAAGAATGAATGAATGAATGAATGGGGAAAGCAACAGAAAAGAAATCAGAAAAAAAAAGTTTAAAAATGAGCCAATGAGCATGTAATTTAAAAGAAGCTACCTGATGTAATAACCCAGTAGCATATAGCATACTTCATTGTATTACCATAATATTACTATTATATCACCTTATTTTATATTTTAGTAAAATACAATAGAATAGGAATTAGGAAGAGAGTCAAGTGACTAAGAGTCTGCCCGCATGCCCCTAAACTAGCAACATTACAAACTAATGTATGTGAACTTTTTTTTTTCTTCTTCTTCTTCTTTTTTGGCTTAATTTTACAATAATGTATTTGTATTTGGTAGAAAGATGAGTTGGAGTTGAGGATATAGCAGAAGAAGAGAAATAGAAATTCACAAGCAAACTACAAGACATTATCTACCTTGGATATAATCTAAAATTTTAAGGCATAGAACTTAGAAACTTCAGAGTTTCTTAGGTTGGGCAAATGATAATAAATGATAACAAATAATACTTAATTTACTGTATGGAATTACTCTATTGTTTAAATAAGAATGTATTTGGTAATAAGGCCATTTAAAATCATAAAATTTTATTCAAGGGTTAACTTTTTTCCACCATTAAAATTTGACTTATGAAAAAGAGTCATYGTTCTGAAATTTCTCACTCTTCATATTCTCAAATTACTTTCATGAGTAACATGTACATTCTTCTGGCTAACTTGGATTGCAATTTTAACAAAATTAAAATAAGTGAGAACAATAATACTGGTTTTATCAAGAGAAAACAAGAGGTCAGTGACCAAAGTAACATAGAAGTTATTGATATAAAAATCTCATTTTCCACCTACAAATATGCACAGCATCCTCTTTTGTTTATGTGACAACTGCAAAGAGGAGAATAATCCAGTTCCTTTTTACGAATATGGCAAATGAAGGTCTCTTTCTTTCATTGGCTGTGAAGTTAGCATAATTCAGGGTAGCTACATTTAGCACCTCATTAGTAACTACCAGCTAATTATTGGCCTGTGTACTCAGGTATTGGCAGATGCCTGACAAGGAACTTAATGAATTTTTCATTAGTCTTTCTGTGAGAAGCTTCAGAAGAAAATATTTCTGAAGGAAAAATTCTCTTACTTTTCTTTTCTCCCCTTTTTGAGCCTCAAGATATTTTCTAAATCAAATTTTTAAAAAAAAATAACATTAAGCTGGATTATTTGTCAGCCAAATAATTTGTTCCTTAATACATTTTGTACAATTTCTCTCTGATATACAAGTTCTTCTACCTGAAGACATTACCAGTACCATGACTGAAGGATACTTTGTTCATATGCATTTAATTTTGTATTGTTTTTCAGAAGATTAGTTGCCTATACATTGTACACTTTTAAAACAATAACCAGAGGGTGTAATCGATAGTTTTTAATGAACCTAGCATTTTTAAGTAGTTTTTGACACACAAACATAAAAGGCTCAACTAAAATATACGTAAGTATTTTACACCATGGTATATTTTTAAACATTTACCTATGAAACAAAAGTTTCTGTAACTTTGTTGTATAGTTAAAATTTAGCTCAAATTAATACATTTGCAACAACCTTGTGCTCTTCATGAATGCTAAAATTGCGCAGGTTTATGGTTATATAGTTAATTGCCACMAAAAAAATTTCAATTATATCTTCTGAGAGTTACGCAGAATATTTCATTTGATTCTTTGGGTGAGATTTAACTTCTGAACTCAAAGTGTGATTTTGATTTTTCAATATTACTTTTGCTTTAATTAAAATCCCAAAGTAATCTCGAATTCTTCACTCAAATTGCATTTTTATGAATATTTTATCTCTATAATTGGAACGTCAACACTTAAATAAATGATTCATCCAAATATACTCATCATACCTCAATGCTCTTATCCTTAAGAAAGCATCTTTAAAAACTTTGTTGGCATTTTTATTTAAAAGGATGTATTTGATTACATATCAACTCAGAGAAATTAAGGTAAAATTCAAAGTGGTGTGGCCTCAGCACCTTTTACATTTCTTGGTTTGTTTGTTTGCTTTTTCCTTTTGAAACTCAGGGTCTTCATACTTCTCAGGACTTCACACTGGAATGTTTCATGGTCTCATCTGACTTTTGACAAAAAGCTTTTCTTCTTTCCTAAGCCCTCCTTTAGGAGTCCTGTGATAATCTTAATACCAGAGAAGAAATCAATCTGTTGGGATAGGCCATTCTAACAGGTTGACTTTATTTGGGAATACTCTGTAGAAGTTATATTTTATGCAATATTTAGAAATGAAAACACTTGAGAGTAAAGGGGAAATTAGGTCACCAAAAATAATAAAGAAACATTTTACTTCTTTATTCAGTAAAAATAAAAGCTTAAAAAGCTTGTGCACTTAAAATATTTGAGGGTAATTTGGATCCTTTGTAGTTTCCACTATATCTATATCATATTTATCCATATTTCATTTATTGTCTAATAAATAGACATGAATGCTGTGAAAATACTTTGTGTGCAACCAGAGACTTGAAAATTTGTGCTCTATATTTATAATATGAAATGAATGGCATTCTTCCATCATATATAACAAATTAGAATATATAAATAATTTTTAAGAATTATATTTACTCAGGTTTTAAAAGGAAAACTGATATTCTATCAGATTGCAATAAAACTTCATATTTAGAAGTAAATATTCTGTTATTCCAAATCAGCTAGGATATATGAATATATTCATTTATAAAACTAGCACACATTTACTATAAATTTAGGAAAAAATAATTTGAAAAAGCATGAAGTATCAAAATTGTTTATATATAAATTATATAACTTCTGATAAATATATATACAATTCTAATTTATTTATGCTTTCATAAAAATTATAATAATGAAATCTTAAATTAAGAAATGTATTTGATGGGAGAAAGCATATAAATGAAATACATATTTCTAAAGGAACATTTTATGCACTAGTAAAATAATGACTCATGTATACTGCCAACCTTTGTGTCTATGAGATCCATCCATGTTGCTAAATTCAATGTGGTTTTCATCAGCCCAGTAGAGTCTTTGGTTGACATAATCTATTGTTAGTGCCATAGGTCTAGCAATCTTTGTTTCTATGACAACACTTTGATTGGTCCCATCCATTCCGACACGGCCAATGTGAGGATACTCACAGCAGTCAATCCAATACAAATACCTAGGAAAGAAAATCAATAGCCATTTTGTTTACAGCATTCTGGAAGAAAAATATCACATGATATTTCACTCTTTTTTTTGCTCTGTTATTCCTAAATTAATTTTTGAATTATAGGTCTCTGAATTATAGATCTCACAGAAATCCTTCAATGTAAATTTTTTCTTGTGAATTTTTAAACTAATCACATAGAATGGTTTAAAATATTCACTTAATTTATACATTTCCCTTAAAAATATTATATATAGAATAAGATATTTTATAAGTGTTAATATATTATAGATGTCCCAAAGTAACAAATGTACATTTCAAAAAGAYATCTACAACATTGGAGAAATTTCTATCTAAATCTGTGTTTACTTCTATGTTTGTATGTATGTACATATCTATTCACCAATCTGTTACTTTGGTTTCTCATAGGTGAAAAATTAAAAAAAAAAACAATAGAAGGATGCATTTCATCTACATGAATATGCATTGTCAATGTGGTAGCCCCTAGCCAGTGACTGTTAAAGTTTAAACTGTACTTAATCAAATAAACTATATTGTATCAAATAATATTTAATGAACTAGATTCTTCTTCATGCTAGGTATATATTATATGTCCAATGACCATGCATCTATAGTGGGTATTCTATATAATGGAAAAGATGAAGAACATGCCTGTCACCACAGAAAGTTCTATAGGAGAGCACTGATTTAAATTATGCTATTACAAGTTCCACAGTAGGACATTCCACACATGGCAGGGGCAATAAAGTAAAAGTAATATTAATATTATTGATACTAATTAGGATAAGTTAAATATAAATATTGCATTCCATAAAATACAAATAGCTGACATATCACTCAGAAATTTCATTATTTTTCAGCTTTTCCCTCAAATGTAAGAAAAGTCATTCTATTTGATTATATAGGATACATTTCATTATCTATATAATTGAAGATTTGAATTAAAAGACTTTTTATATCTTTTTCATATTCAAACTTGAAATTTAATTCTATTAACCAGAAAGGTTTTTCTAGGTCTCATCCTTTCTTTATGCCAAGTCTAATCCTTGGCAATTAATTCTTCAGATTTAAAAATATGCTGAGATATTTAGTTGAGATTTGAAATGTCCTTTAAACAGTTTTTTCCTTATAATTTTGACAAAGATAATTATATTTTGATATTTTACTTCACAATACAAAATAAATAATAGTTTTCTGGAAAATCCACTTATTAAATAGCAGGTTGATGGAAATAATCATTATAAATAACTTGAGAATATTTTGTGTTGATCATCTTGTTGGGGTATGTATAAAGGCATGGAGTACATGGATAATAAAATAATTATTTGATAACAAAAATGCCATTGACACACTAATGAAGTATGGTTCATAAAAGCAGAAATATATCTCTTGTAAGGACTAAACTGAAGGTGGAAACTTGTAAGCAGAGGTTCAAAGGGAGCTCTGAGAATGAAAACTTAAACTTTATCCAGGAAATCTCAAGTCAGCCTCTCCTGAATCATTACTGGAATTGTTATAAATGCTTCCAAATACCTGTCTACATCAATTCTGAAGATATTTTAAAAATTCCAAGTCATCAAGTAATAGTAGATGCCACGCTCTTTCAAAAAGGATGTTCTATTTTTTTTAATATTGCACTATTTTTAGCATTTTTTTTTTTTTGGTACTAGGGATTGAACTGAGGGGCTCAACCATTGAGCCACATCCCCAGACCTATTTTGTATTTTATTTAGAGACAGGGTCTCACTGAGTTGTTTAGCAATTCACTGTTTCTGAGGCTGGCTTTGAACTCATGACCCTCCTGTCTAAGCCTCCGGAGCAGCTGGGATTACAGGCAGGTGACACTGCGCTCAGCTCTTATTTTTAGCAATTTTTTTAAAGACAGCATATGTCAGTGAAATATGTATTCCAGAAAAACACACATGCATTCTTTTCTACAATGAATTTATGGAGGAGCACCTTTCCTTCTAAAGAAGAGATAATGTCAGATACAAAATAAAAAAACTCGATCAGAAAAATGTCATAATGAAAAGTAGTTTATCTTATTGAAATAAATCAGGATATGCCTACTTGCCTTAGTGAGCCTGAATCTTGGGAATATTGATATATTAATTGTTTTTCCCATTAAATGTGATATGCTTACATCAATTTCTCTCTAAAGGGTTAGATACAATTAGACTTATTTGTSCTTTCACACATAATTTTTTTTAACAAATGGGGATAAATGAATAAAATATAAATGTTTACATGTAACATTAAAAATTCCAAATAGTTTTAATTGGAGATACGCTTCCTATTTGTATTCAGCTATAACCTCTACAGATTTTTGCCCCTACAATTAAAATATCTCAGAGATGAAAAGAGAGATTTCTATATTAGATGATTTCAACAAAAGTGTTGAAAATTGTTGGATGTGAATAATAATGCTTTTGAGTCCTTTAGGTAAATTGTAAGTTTCTAATAGTCTAATTTCCACAGGAGTTCAGTTCTTAGTTTTAATCTGCATTATGAACTTTATCTGGTTAGAATCATCATAGCAACCAAGATAATAAGAATAGAAAAAGTATGTGTCCCACATCTGATACAGCACTCTCAAGTCTGGTGGGAGGCCCATAGCTGCATCTTCTCCCTGATATTTGAGCCTTTCATTATTTATTTAGCTCAAATATCCTCCAATTTACTATCAAAATGTGAGAAATTCAGCTCTAGTCTAATTTTTTTAATTACGATCTCACATTTTTAATTTCTGTGCTTTCATATCATTTGCCTGGCCCGATGACTCTTCAATTATAAATATATCTTCATGAAGATGTAATTCACATTGCCCCCTCTGGTCTCCACAAATTATTCCTTGATTAGTGTTAGTTCACATTTTCAAGGTAGGTTAAAAGATCAAGTATATTTGAGAAGTGTTTTGTAGGATTCCTAGGAACCCTTATGCTAATGGCATTGTGATTCTATAAGAGGAGCTGCAGGATCTCTTGTTAATCAGATAGTTTGGRGTCATACATTTATTTTCTTAGAAAACTCATAGAATTATTGTACTGGGGAAATTGTGCTTTAGTTACTCCTGGTCTACAGAATCTCCTTTCTTTGTTACAAGTGTCACTGAACCACACATGATGATATAGGTTCTCATGACTCATAATCAGAGAACTGTATCCTAAGAGTCAATGATGGAACAATTCTGATAAATTCCAAAGCTATGTTTAATTAAGCAGATAGACAAATTTGTTTTGAATAATGATTGACAGAGACCATTTTATATAGCAGATAATTCTAAGTACTAGGGGGATGGAGGTAGACACTTTTGCCTTGAAAGATCTCTCTGTGGATTCAGTAGAGGCATATTTTTTTGAAAGCATGAAAATTAAATAAAAATTAAAACATATGAAGATAGAACTATTTTACTACAGAACTACAAAATATGGAAGTAAATTTTACCTCGAAGGAGGGAGGCATTTCTAAGATGGCTTGTGCTCATTATCAGTCTCTTAATGAAAATCTTATTTTTTAAACTAGCTTAGAAATTCCATAAAAGTAATGATCTCTCTGTTAGATTTTAGGAAAATGTCAAATTTAGGATTTCATTTTGGCTTTGTTTGGGGTATCTGCCTGTGATCCCAGTAGCTCTGGAGGYGGAGGCAGGAAGATCGCAAGTTTGAAGCCAGCCTCAGCAACTTAGTGAGGCCCTAAGCTACTTTGCCATATCCTGGCTCAAAATAAATAAAGAATGGCTCAGTGGCTAAGCACCTCTGGGTTCAATGTCTAGTACCAAAAAAACAAAACAAAACAAAAAAAAGATTTAATTTTGCAACAGTTATTAAAAATTATGTATGTCATTAAGGACTTCACTGATAAATGTACTGATCAAGTGAGACCCTAAGAGGTTATGCTTTTTTGATTATGATAGCAGTATAACTGGAATAAGTATTCATTTCTGTAGTAAGTTACTTTCTTTTAGACTAGCTTCTTTTCTAACAACATTATGAAAGTCATCAGTCATTAAATCCTAAATACAGATTACCTGAATTCAAATCCCAGGTCCTCCTATTACTAGCTATGTGAACCTGGAAGCTTTAGTTATCTCCCCTGATCTTAGATTTATTCAAATCCCAAAGAGTCAATATTAGTTKTTTTTTTTTTAATAGGGTCATTTTGAGGATTAAATGAGAAGATGCATAAAACAAATTTAGATTTTTTAAATTTTTAATTTTTTTAGCTGCAGATGGACACAATATCTTTATTCATTTATTTATTTTTACATTGTGCTGAGGATTGAACCCAATGCCTCACATGTATGAGGCAAGAGCTATCCCTGAGCCACAGCCCCAGCCCCCAAACTTAGAATTTTGATGAGCACATAGCAAATGTTTAGCAAATAATAGCTAGTGTTGTTTAAACTACTTTGGATATGAATATGTGCATTGATTTATTTTTTGGTTTAATAGAATACTAAGTTTCCTGTTGCCTCCAGATTGCATGTACATTATATGATTTAGATGGATTTTATATATGTTATTACTTACATATTTGCCAGTTTAAGTACTTATCAGTCAGAAGAATATTTGAAAATATTTCACAACATGGAACAAAGTATAATTTAAATGAATAAAATATCAATATTCATAAGAATTTATTATTTCAATAAGAGTTAGCTAACTTCTAATGGCAAAATATCATTTCTTTTCAAAAAAGTCTCATTTACTATTTTATTCCAAATATGTAAATAAGTCTACACTAAACAAAATGATAATTTTGCTTTGTATACTACAACCCCTAAATAACTACCTTTGTGAAAAAAAAATTGTTGTAAATAATTAAAGAAAAAAAATAAGACATCAGTGAAAATGTTGAAAGAAGAGCTCAAATTCTATCTAGATAATATGCAATATTTACCCAAGACCATGAAAAATCTCAGCTCCAAATAGTACCTATTGTGTAAGTTATAACCAAGTATAAACATATAAAAGAATGTCTGCTCGTAACCATAACAACAGGCTTCTGGATTCTGAGGTTGTCTTTTATAGTTGAACATAATACATTATTTTTCTTTAAAATGAATTAAGTAGAAGTCTTCTCAGAGCTTTTATTTTTTTCTAAAATCAGGCAATAAATTTAGAGAAGCTTCTTCCACTTGCAATTATTTCTAATCTGAATTATAAAATTAATCATTTATATTCATTCCCTATGAATTTTACCSAAATATAGGAATATTGAAATCAGCTGTGAATAAAAATTTAAAAATTGGTGGAAAATATTTTTTTGTATGTGACTGTAAAGTTTGATGAAATATTTTTGTGCTTCCCTGCAAAAATAATAAACTGAATTTTCATCCTGGTATGCTTTTCATTCTCTCACAATGAAAGTTCCCTTATGACTTCTCTTTGAAACATGCAGGTTATTTACATATCAATGTACCAGTTTGTGCATAGGAGCAGGTGCAGTGTCCCTGTAGCTATAACCCCATTCTCTGTGTAACTCCAGTTACCCATTTATTATTTTCGTCAACAGTGAATTTAACAGTCTCTATGGTAGGTAAAAACAATGATTAAAATATGGTTTCTGTGTTAAGCTACTCATTTTCTAGATGGAGAGATAAGACATTTACACTAAAAATAGTCCTATAATGGTAAGTGTTCAATATGTGGGGGTCACTTAGGCACATTTCAGGAGTGTTTCTGCTGGTGAGAAAATTATATTTCTGCTGATCTTAGAAAAGTAGTATTCTGCTTGGAGAAATAATAAGAACTAGTATAAACTAAGATATAGAYGCATAAAATATGCCTTTCTAAATTTGTTTGATTATTACCTTTATTGGCAATAAGGAATGCAGATACCAAGTATTTAAAATATCTTTCACATTATTTTTGTCCTTCACATTTTTATTAATATATATTCAAATTCAAATTAGGGTCTACTATTATTTTCTTTAGATTTGCTGATAGGTTTTTTAGGAAAAGAAATTCATGAAAAACATCTTTTAAAATAAGACCTGAGGCTACGGTTATAGCTCAGTGGTAAAGCTCTGCATAGCATATCCAATCCCAGCACAGCAACAAAAATAAATTCATAAATGAATGAATAAATAAATAAATAAACACTATATGTGTTTTAAAAATTCATGTTTATAATAATTTAGGCAGTTTTCTCCATTTTTAAAAGCTCACATCATCTATATTCTAGTTTTTTATGACTTTTAAATAACTATTGTTAAAATGGAAAAAATAAGAGAATTGTGGTTCTTTCTTTTCTCTCTTGTTTAGGGAGCAAAACATGTTCATGATCCAAGATCATTTTGTTATAGGGAAACTCTAAAGAGATATAGTAAGAAAAATATGCAATTRATGACTGAAAACTGAGTTGAACCTGCAGCTCAATAGCTTTTTAATTAAATGATTCTAAGACAATTAGCCAGTTGAAAATTCTTAAACATGCTATAAGGAAAGTAATAAAAACAATCATGTCTTTCTAGAGATTCTGCATAAAYAGTACATGCATCTACAGTAATAAAGATAAAAATTTCCTAACTCATTAAATGCTAAAAAATATTTATTTTCATTTTCATTGTTTTTATATGAGGACTTTCAATCCCAATAGGTTTATAAAATGGTCATTTTCCTTTCTGGAATCTGCCACTTAATTCTGGAAAATTACTCCTCTATTTACCAATGTGCCCAAGCCAGGTGTCTTGAAAGTTTCATTTGTTGTCATTCTTTTATGTTGTTTTGTGTTGTGACTTATTCTTGGTTCTCTTTTACTCTGTAAAGTGAACCAGTTCCACACCTCTATAGTTGTGGAATATGTTCCAATCTTATGAGTTCCTTGTAATTGATTGAATATAATATGCTCTTTTCTGTTTCTGTGTGTTCCTACAAAGCCTGTTCTTTCTACCAGAAACATCTTCTGCTCTAAAGTGCACTATATAACTTTGCTACTTATTACTCTAGTTCTGTTAACTAGGCCTACCACATACTCACTTTAATATAAATTCTAAGATATAGATAGCATATCCTGAAATATAATTCATATTGGTCTTTTGCTATGATAACCTAATGTGACAGCTTAATAATTAGAAAAGATAAAATTATGTTCAACATAGTTATAATATTATATCCTCCATTCTATTTTAAAATGCCTATAAATATTTTTCATAAATAATGATTTTTATAACTATTTAATGTAAATTATTTAATTACCTCAAAATTATTATAAATTTAAAACTCATTCATAAATTAGACTGGATAACACGATAATTAGAATAAATTTTTGAAAAAAATTCAGATGAGCTGATATGTAATAACCAAGAAGATGATCCATCTGTCTACCTATATCTTCTTACTGTTTTTAGTAACTATTACATACAAATTGATTGTTATAATTGGCATATAATTTAAAAAATATAGAAAGGAACCCCAAGATATGGCCTAACAGCTTATTTGTTTCATTACATTAGACATTCCAGTGATCATTAAGTAAATCCTTGTCTTATCCCTGATACCAAATATCAGGACAGGAAACAACTCTCTGGGAAATGGGGGTCAATAGTATTGGCATATTCAAACTATATGCAAATCACAGTGTACCCTTATAGTGAGATGTTTTTATTAAATAATCTTACAATATAAGCTCTCACTTTGAAGCTGGATTGTACCTTTTTTTTTTTTTTTTTTTTTTTTTTTTACAGTGGAGACATTTTCAGCCTCATGCTCATCTCATCAGAGGCTAAAATCCAGGTTGCTTTTTACCTCACCCTGGGGAACTAGGAAAACAGCATGAACAAAAGTGTGCCACTAAATTATGGCTATTAAAAAAGGTGGGTTTAATTGTTTTGTAAAAATATCCAATTTTTAGCAATGCTTTGCTTATAAYACGGCAAACTGCATATTTTATCCAAATATTATCCAAAAATAAAATCAAGGGAGTCTTTCATAACATCTACAATAATTGAGTACTTCTGCTGTTTTAATTGACACTTTAATGGATGAGTTTAAGTTGACAACTTAAGGCTGCTTTCAGTTTATGGAGTATTCTCTTCTTACAACACAACCTGGAAGAATTAAAATATAAAACTACATTCAGCTGCATTCACTAGGCTAGGATACAGTTTTTGCTTCATAAACAGGAAATTCTATAAGACAACTATTATGTAACAGGCAATGTTTCTTTCATTAGAAAGTCAAGCATCTGATATGGTATGAAAAGAGAAGCTGTGCCATTTATATTGATTTTAGAAAAAAAAAAGATAAGTGTTTGAACATTCAAAATAGTTTGTGGAACAATAGTAGTAGAATTAAAATATTCATGTTTATGAATTGATACAGATGATAGCCAAATTTAATACATTTGGCTATTATTTTCTGAAACATTGATAGAAGCAGATTTTCATGTCTCTGTTTCAGAGACATGCTATTTTAATACAGTGAGACACTTTTGAAATTTCTTTTGCATGGCAAATAAAATATTTTAAAAGACAACAAAACAATTAAAATATATATATTTATACCATATATATATATTTTAATATATATATATATAAAGTGAAAATGTGCCCATTACCTTGGATATTCGACTGCATTCACAGCATAATTCTTCTTTTAACGGGTATTGCTTTTACCCAAATTGATGTTTTAAATTGACCTACAAAAGGTTCTATTGCCAATTATAAACTTGAGGAACCAAAAACAGAGATACCATATAACAACAGGAAGCAAAATCTAACTGCTACAAACAGCATGACAAATGGCAATTATTAGATATAACATAGTTTGTGGAATTAATTTAGACAGTAAAACATTACAAACACTAGTGTTTTCATAATACTTGCTACTATAATTATATCCTATTTTAAAATGTCAAACTTTCTATAAATTTGTTATTTTAACAAATGCATTGGGTAGGTAGAACTTCTACAAAGATGATCTTGGAGTATGTAATCACTCTAAATTATAGTATAAAAAATGAAAAGGTATGTATTCTCTTCCTACAAACACAACATAATTGACTGTGAAAGATAATGGTCATAATCTATAGAACTCTAGAAATCATACACCAGACAGCTTTGACACTTTAATGTGCATTCATCCCTCATCTGAAATTTCCAGGTTGCTGTCCTTGAACCTTGCAATGACTTTTCATCATCCTCACACTAAAATGCAAATGATACACAGCTCCACATGTACTTTCCCATTATTCTCACTTTCTTTTCCTCTTGAATGCATTTGATGATTCATTTTGTCATTTATTACCCATGAATACTGCTTATATCTCCTGCTATAAAGCAGTGCAGGAATTACATTGTTCATATTTGTGAACACCACCAACACTGCAACATTTGATTCAAAAGTTTGTTTTTCACTTGTCTTTTTTCAAGATTTAAATTAACTAAAATTAATGAAATATGTATGTTTTATTCTTTTCCACAGCAAATGTATTGATAAGTTAGAAAAAAAAAAGTTACAAACCCAGCTCGAGGATCTAGAGACAGGTCCCTGGGAAACTTCAGCCWTTTGCTAACGAGTATAGTAGGGTATAAGCCATTGAGTTTGGATACTTCAATCATCCTTTTTTCTGTGTCAGACCAATAGAGGTTTTTTCCAATCCAATCAACAGCAAGTGCATTGGGGACAGCTGTATTATGCACTACCTAATAAAATAAGAATTTAAAAACTTAATAGCATAAATGCCTAGAATGAAAACTGAGTAATCGCTTCATTATTTTTACTGAGATACAGAAAACTATTTAAAACATGAGAAATGTAATTTAGATAAGAAGAAAACAATTGACCACAATACAAATACTTACTTATTTGAGAGAAATTACTTAATATCTAATCGCCCTCTGAAATTAGAAGCAGTCTTAATAAAAAAAAATTAAACGGCAATAAAAATGTATTGACAGACGTACAATTGGTTTTCACATTTTCATTGGAGCTTATGTATTCATTCTCTTAAAATAGGGAACAAAAATATATCACAAACATATAGGAGAAATTGTTGGTATTATTAATTTTTAACAGGTTTTGTGCTATTATCCATAGTATTCACCACTCTTCCAATTGCTCTTGCCCTCTTAAAAATAACTACAGCAAGAGATGAGAATGTGCACAAAATATTTGATCCTAGACAAAAGGGAAATAAAAATATTTATACAACTGCTCTTATCAATTATAACCCATGACAACATCAAATATATTAAGGATATAGGCTTTCTGTTTAAAAATCTGATGTGATACCGACAGAGGGGTGGGAGGGAAAGGAAGGAGCAGGGGATTAGCAAGGATGGTGGAATGTGATAGATATCATTATCCAAAGTACATGTATAAAGACACAAATTGGTGTCAACATACTTTATATACAACCAGAAATATGAAAAATTGTGCTGTATATTTGTAATAAGAATTGTAATGCATTCTGCTGTCATTATTTTTTAAAATCAATAAAAGAAGAATATTGAAAAAATAAAATGAAATACTGAGTTAAAAAAATCTGGTGTTATATAAAATTTCTAGTGAAATCTTCACCCAATGACAGGTGTTTCGAAGTTCTCAGTTCTTTCAAACTATGTGAGAAACAAGTGAATCTTGGAGCTGCAGAGAAACCAATGGTTGTGTAATTAAAGAAAAGAAAATGCTAAATTTTATACTCATTAATTTCCCTAATGCCATCAATAATAAATTTGCAAAGTGGCAATGTGAATATTTGCAACRATTAATGATATCAATCTTCTGTGTTGATTGCAAGGCATATTTATGCCTTTTTCCTTACCAGATTGCAGATTTGGAAAATTGACATGGCTGCTATTTAACTGAACATCAGTGAATTAGTAATCTCATGGGACAAAAACATGGATTTATTAATTTGTTATGATTAAAATAATAGAGTATTATTAGCATGGCAGTAGAAACAACACACTTCAAATATGTTGAAGTATCTTCAGAAACTAAAAAAATGTAATATAAACTTTTAATTTCTTGTAAAAATAAATGGTCAACTTTAACTAATGTAACATTCATAAAATTTTAATACAATTGTCAAAATTAAATTATAAAATTAAAAAATCTGCTAATTTGATCGATATATCCACTTGATCTGCTAGAATCAATCTGTTATCACTATCATATACTGATATTTCATTTTATGAACCATTATTAAATAGTTATCCTGATTAAGTTGAAATATTCCTCTGTATATGAACACTTTAAGATTTCATGAATATTTTACTATTGATTGCTTTTAAACATTTGGTGATATTATGAATGGCTACAAAAAAGTTAAAATAATTSAAGTCTCATCTACTTAAATTTACAACTTATTTATAGTATATTTTGTTGCAAATATATAGTACTTATAATTGGTTTTAAAACTCAGAAAAGTCATAAAACAGAAAAGTCATATCAAATAGCTCATAATAAGAAAGTTATGTTTATTTAATCTTGATGCTATCAAATCAGAACATTCATGATTTTACACATATCACATGCATGCAGTTTTTCCATCTATAGGAGGTTAATTTTAATAATGCTACAACTTCAATCAATACTCTGATATTTATTTTTAATTAAAATGGTAATATCAACTTCCCCTTGTATTTAAATCAACATGAGTGAATCTTAAGCATAAATCATTCAAGCTAAAGACATCCATCACATTTTCTAGGGATGTGGACTGGTTTCTAAATTTTATTTTATTAATTTGATTTTTATGGTATTGTAAATAATTGCATTATAATAAAACATAAGGATAAGAATGTTCTTATTTCACATTTAAAGCAATTATTATTAAATTACACAGTAAAATTGAAATGAGGGTAAGACAAACTAAAAGTCACATCATTTACATCAAAGAACATATCCCTATTATAATCATAGCAATAAAATATTCAGCACTCTTATTACTGTAATATTTAATTACCTTAACGTCACTTCCATTTAAACACATTCTATTTATGCGGCTTCCATTAGGTCTGCTAGAATCAATCCAATAGATGAATTCTTCTCTATAATCAAAGTCTATAGCAATAACATTGTTTAATCCCTAAAAACAAAAGAAAAAATATTTATAATAACAAGTCATAAAAAAGTATTTATAAATATTTAGGAGTTCATGAGAATCATTATCTCCCATTGATTCTCAAGTTATTAAAATAAATAACATTAGTGACCATTATTATTAAGATCATTCAGCATATATTTATAATTTCACCATAGTATGCACTTTAAAAGCTGTATAATTTATTTAAAAATATTTTCCAAATAGGATACAACATTTTTGGAATGTTTTTAGGAGTTTAGATAGCCAGGAARGTGGGAAAAATAATTTAAGAAGGCATTTCTTAATGTTGACAATAAATTTGATGCCTTTAATATTGTCTGTTCTATGGAGTAAACTCTAAATTTGGACAGTAGAAAATTCTTAAAGAATGATGTTGATTTCTGGATTACCATGTGATGAGTGAGGAAGGAAGGTTTAAGAATTTTACTTTCTGCAATAGCTCTTGTTCCCAAAACATCAATGAGCTTCCTTTTTTCATGCTTCAAATGGCTCCTCAGGCAGCAGAGTGTCATATTAGAATTTAAAAGTTATGACCTTAGGTGAGTATTTGACCAAGGAAGAAATAGATATTCAACATCTTTTTATTCTACTGGTGGAAATGTGAGAAAATGCCTCCCTTCAGACCCACAGTTATGCATTTTTTAGTAGGTAATGAAACAGAACACAAATTCAGCTGYTGGGTTTCTAGAAGTTACAGAGTTTTGGTGGGCTGTTCTGCTATTTACTTAGAATTGGGGATAGTACATCAGAATCTGGGTATTTTGTTTGTAGTGAGTTGTTTAAATGATTTCAGAGTTTAAATCTGATCTCTTTTAGTACTGGCATATTTGCTACTTCATGAACTAACAAAATTTGGGTCACAATTTAAATTGTGTTAACTCATTTTAAGGTTAGAATAGTTTATTAGTATGTAAATTTTTACATATTATTAAATAATTAATGTTATACTCTCTTGGTAAAACCCCAAGAGACCTTTGTCATGTGTTTATAACTATGTAGAGCTTGCTTATATCAACATTCACCCTAGAAATGTTCTTACACCTCAAATTGTAAAACAGTTGTAGTCTTATGGGTAAGGATCAATACCTTCAGGGAAACATATTTTTTGTTTGCTCTTGTTTGGTATGGGAGCAAGCTGTGGGAAAGTATAGGAAGATGGTAATTCCCAGGTCTGAGTTCAGTTCCCAAATCTAGTCTCAAAATTCAGAATCTGATAACAAAAGCAACAGTGCCATAGATCTATATAGTCCTTTATAAAATTCAGGCCAAGGATAAATGGCTACTATTCAGACTCCATACAGATATTTGTTTCTCCTTTCATCTTGCAGCAAAGCTGAATTCTAGAAATAATGGTGCTAACATCACAAATTCAAATCTTACACTTTTATTTTGTTTACTGTGGACGATCTTTTTCTTCGGTTCCACATTATAAATCTAATCTGAAATATCCTAACCCCATGTAATTGCATGATGTTGGTCATAAATAGGAGATACAGGTAGAAAACATGACTCAGGATAAATTCCTCAGTAAGCTCAAATGAATAAATGCAAGCACATTTCTTAGGGACAATATTCCTAATCAAGAATAATGATTATAAATGGTGAAAAATGAAAAATAATGTTTAGTCACAGTTTCAATAGATTCCTTAAGTATCCATTCACATACTATTAACTAAATGCACTTAACTATATTCATCTAGGAAAGTGGCTATGAAAAAAATCAAATTTCTAAAATATAAATTACGTGTATTCTAGCAAGTTCCATAGAGAGATTTTAAAAATCACCTCAATAGTCTTTTACAATATCCTSTCTTTTCAAATGCTTTTTCTCTCTGGAGGAAATAATATAAATGGGTTAGGCTTCTGTGTTGGTTTGGCAATGGACTAAATTAGAGAGCTTTATAGGAAAAACATGGAGAAATTTCTCGCTAAGTTTAGAAAGGATTTACATACAATCCCCAATCATGGCAGAATTTCTTTCTTAGCAATAATCAATTTAGATAATAAAAATCCAATTCCAAATTTAGCAAGTCAAGTATAAGAAATTAAAGCTGTAAATGCTGAGGAGCTGAATCTGTGAATCCTGACATATCTATTTGGACAAGCTGGGCCTTTTTCAGTGGCTTTACTCTTAATCCCCACAGAAAACTCTGCAATTCTCTCTTTGTAGAATCATATGCAAGGAACATTAAAACAGCCAGGGGTATGGTCAAAATAATGCCTGAAAACTAGAGTCATCCCAGTGGTTTCAGAGCTGAAAATTGGTTTCATCAAAATCCTATTTGCTTCTTTCATTTCTGTAGTTGAAGATTTGCACCCTTTGGTTCAAGATGATTAATTTAGGAAATTGTGTTTTGTTTCTCTATACAATTTACTGGGATAAAAGCACTGCTAGAATTGCATTGTATAACATATTGGAAAGTTACTTGATTAATTTTCATTCCTAAAATCTATGTTATTAAAATATATTTTCTTAGCATGGCGTATGAATTTAAACTATAGGTGGGCTAGCACCACACCTGTGTTTTAGAATACACAACTTTAAAAAAAGAATTTTAATACTTGTTATAAATTTATTWAATAAAATTTTATGAGACTATTACTAATGATAACAGAACAAAATTTAACATATTAGGATAAATCATTTTTTAATCAGCTATAMATAAAAGTTCCAAACAACCAAGGCCTTTTCATTTATTTGAGTTGAGAGAAAATGTGAAGAGATAATTAATCACCTCCCTCTGTCTTCTAATTCATTCCACATATGTGAATAAAGTCTCTAAAGAGGAAAAATGATTTTACTGCTTAAAACTCCTTAAAAATTTTAAAGTGCTATGATAAGATTGTGGTTAAAAATTTGTTCCTTCGAAGAAATAATATATTCCAAGCAGCCCATAGGTAAAACTTGATGTGAGGCTTCTCTCATATCAAGTTTTCGAGTATTTGTTTCCTTACTCCAGAATTAACACTAATAAATGTTTCCCCAAAACATAGGTGTTCAGGGTCTTAATGAACTACCTTACCTTCTTCTTTCCTTATTCATTTTCATAAACTAAGAAAAATATCTAAAATTCCCCTACTTATGTACTAATAATTTGCAGTAGTCTAAAATGATAGCATCAGGGGAAAAAAAGAGCTATATTAAAGAATGTACTAAAGTAAGTCTATTATGAGAAACAGACTTAAATGAAGCATAGAAGAAAAAAAAAACATTTTGTTTCACTAGGAACAATCTCAGACAACACACTTGCCATGAATGACCACAAAAGGGATACCAATGAAAATGTTCTGAGCCTCATCAGGGTTGGAGAATGAAACAAAGAACTGATCCAGAAACTGTTCTCATGAACACAATCAATATTGTTGCTATATTAGTTAACCTTGTGGTTTATCTGAGCTTAAAAATAAGGTATTCTCAATAGAAACCACTTCCTATTAAACTAAAAATGCATAGTATGAAGAGTGAAATGCCAAAAATACTAGTTAAGAGAAAAGAAACATATCCCTTTTCCAGATACCACACCAGAAAATCAATGGCTGGCATATCTCATTTTTAAGTTTATAATGGATAGAGGGACTGAGAAGACATAGACACAAATGAGATAATTTTCAATGTTTTGCAGTTTTAATATGTTTAAAAATACACTGTACAGAAAAAAAAGAATTAAACTAGATCATGTAGGAAACAGAGTGGGAAGCAAAGAAAATTTTCATTTTATGTTTATTCTTAAAACTTCCTCCCAAATGATTACTCTTACATTATCAACTTCCCAAAAGACAGCTGTCTAATTATTATACTTTAGATAGCTTTCTGTTTGGTTTTCATTAATTCCTGAAAATGTTTTAATTTTTGTAAAGTTTTTCACAGATCCATTTTTGAAGAGAGGGTCAGTGTGACATAGTGGAAATTAGCGTTTCACTCCAAACTCTGAGAAAGAGCCTAAATCCACAGACATTCAAAAACAGGGCAAGTACACATGCTGCAAGGACATGGATTATCTGAAGATTCCAGTGGACTGGAGAGCATGAATTCTAAATCAAAATGGTAACTGCTACACTGTTTGGTATGTGATCATTCAAGAATGTGACGCTAGCACCATATACTTTTCTACTCTTCATAAACAGCCAGAAAATCTGGATTTTCATGTAAAATATTTAAAGTATATTTTTATTGCATTAGTTAGACATATTTGCATATAACACAGTTTTTTTCTGTTTCAATTCTTAATACTTCCCATTTCCCTCTCCACTTCCTTCTCCCTGATATCTTTCTTGCACACACTGTTGACACTGTTGTTCTTCCTTTTCCTTCTCTCTGTCTCTCTGTCTCTCTCTCTCTCTCTCTCTCTCTCTCTCTCTCTCTCTCTGTGAAATTCAATCTGTTATCTAGAAGAAGTCTGGAAAAATGTGACTTTGCCAGGATTAGTCAATCTCACACTGGCTAATAAATATGTGCACTTAAAGTTACTCTTACCACTAAAGCGAAATGAAGAAATTTCTGAAGCTGCAGTGAAGAAATCCAGCAGACAGTAGTAAAACTAACTTTTATTAAGGGCAGTCAGCCCTCCCTATATCTTTGTGCTCTGTATCCATCAATTCAACTAACCACCATTAAATATCATGGGAAAAATTACATTTGTACTGAACATGTGCAGATTTTTTTTCCTTGTGATTGTTCTCTAAAACTGTCACTATTTGTAAAGTATATATATTATGCCAGATATTATAAGTAGAATACAGATGAATTTAAATATGTGTGAGGATGTGTGCACATTATATGGAGATGCTGTACAATTTTATATAAGAAACTGATCATTTATGCATTTTGGATTTTGCTGAATCCTGAAACCAATCTCCCTCTGAGATACTTAGGATGACTGTAAGTCTTCTTTGTTTCCAAAAAGTCACCATATAAATGGTCTCTTTATTTATATCTAACACTCTGATAAACATATCACAAATATAAGAAATGTCCTTAATGTTGATGTATTGTACAGTTGGAGCAAAGTCATTTATAGACAAACAGATACAAGATACAGATTCCAAGGAAAGACGTTTCTCTTAATAACTAAAATATGCTCTAACTAAGTGTATGTAACTTCCCTAGTACATGTAGTTTCACTCTATTTTTAATTTGAATTTGGTCTATTTTCATTGCATACCTGGAGGAAAAAAAAAACATTTGTGGTGAATAATTCACAGTTCTATATACTATTACAAAGTGTAAGTCATAATTTTTCCATTTCAAGTCACATATAAAAATGAACTCAGAGAACAGGAGTCAAACACGAAAACACATCAGCCCAGCTTCTCTTGAAGTGGGTGGTACTGGGAGAGGAGAAGATAAGACTGAAAACACCTTTTCTTGAGACCTTGCAGTCACGACTCTTATACTCTCACTTTTACTCTCTTGATGATTCCAATTTTTAAAGACTAGGTATCTTCTATCCTATTGTATTTCCTGGTTTTATGAACAGGAACATGGAATTCAGGAAAAGGTTACTTTATATCTCAAGGTGAGAAAAACAATTTGGGTAATTCACAAAACACTTTAAAAGAGATGGTTATGCTTTCTGTAATTAAGCTATTCCTGAGATAATATTTCTCTTGAATTAATTATGCCTTATTATCTTTACCTTCTTCAGTGCCGTATGATAAGGCAGTTTGAAAGCATTACCTGCTCATCACCAAAAAAAGAGCACTTATGTAATATTATATACATGCTTATATGTGTATGCATCCATAAATATTTGTTACATAAATTCTAACTGTCCTGTATTTCTGCAGTTTGAATGCATGCCTGGAGAACACATAATAAAAGTTACGGAATCATACCTGTTTTAAAAGTGTGTAGTTGGAGCCATCAGTGCTAATTTTCCTTATCTCGTGATGATCAGCAAGAATTAGAAAAGGTTCCTCATCTAAATTCCAAAGCAAAGAGCCAGTTAGACATTTAATATTTATGATCTCTTCTGTTTAGTTTCAGTAGTTTAGCAGCAATGTAAATTCAAACACACTGTTGTTCTGGTAGATTAATGGTTTAAAAGTTTATACTCAGCAATGTGGTCAATAGTAAAAGAAAAGACAGCAAATGCCATGGGAGTACAGAAATCTACATAATTCTGAGTGCATTCTTCTCTTGCCCTCAATTTTATTGGCCATCCAAATATCTGATCTGGCATTAGTAGAAAATATCTGCTGTTACACTCCGATTTTATAATGTATATTTTTTAAAAAAGGATAATCTACACCTATCAAAAAATTCAATGGTTCAGCTAAACTCTCATATCAGAAAATTTCTCCTTGATAATCAACCAGTTAAATTTTAGAATTACCTGGGTAGAGGTCAAGTGGAATCATTGCACAGACACACTTTTTTCATGTGCCTGAGGACTTAAGTGATTTCTGAACTCCAGGCTCTATTTTTTGTTTATTAATTTTACCTTTTCTCATGGGTCTTATTTTTTAATCCTTTATTAATCTGTAATTCCTTCAAATGAGACTGTCCATTGTGTTCTACTATCTCATTTATTTTAGAATCTAGGAAAGTGCATGATAAAGTTTGATCTTGCTCAATATACAGAAAGATCCTCTGTACCTTATTTTGGTGTCCTCTTCAGAATTTATTTGCAAGTCAAATACATTATTAAAGAAAAGAATTTCAAAAAGTGCTGCACACTACATTGTATTTGAATACATATTTAAATAAAGTCAATTTGATCATATTTTCAATTATTATAATCCTGGAAAAACTCAGTAAACTATTTGTCTTGTATGTCTTTGTAAACATGTTCATATACTTATTTGCCAAAATATGCAAATTTAATGTTCACAGAAAAAAATGGGAAAACATATCAAAAGGTAATCACTTTATGTGTTTTAATTTGCACTTTATTATAAATCAAATAATGTTATGGTTGTTTTGAAATTTTTCATTCCTTCCTTTGCTGTTTTGTTTCATATTTAATATGTAAGAGTAAGGTATTAAAATAAGGTATTATTAGACCCTGCTATTAAGGTTTCAGTGTATACTCTAACACTCACATTGGACACTCTTACATTATCTCTGACAGCACTCTTAATCAGTTATCCCAATCTTTGTGTTGAGGCCAAATTCAGATTTATCATACTTTTCAACTCAAAGTTGGCTCTTAATTAGAAGATGTCTTGCCATTCCAGTCAATATTATTTCAAATTTGTCTGAGGCTATAACTCAGTGGTAAAGTGCTTGCCAGGAATGGCTGAGACCATGGATTTTATCATCAGCACCCCCCACAAAAAAAGCATGTTTGTGCATGTGTGTGTACATACATATAAACACATACACAGTTTCAGACATATAAATATAAAATTAATCAGTTAATTTCTACACTAATACTTAGGAAACTATTTTTTAAAATTCAAATATAATTGGTTTAAAAATTTGAACTGTCTTTACTTCAAGAACTTCACTTCAAGAACAGATTTTTTATATTCAAAATCATTATTAGGTTCTAATTATTATTACTAATGTGAAACAATTATTTCATGGTTACATGATATTCGAATGGATATGTAATCATTAGCATTTGTCTTTTCTACACAATCCTCTATGAAAAGTCTATTGAAGAGAAACACTGGCTGCTTTTAACATTTTATCTCTTTTTCTTGCAGCATGTCACTAAACGCATCATGTAGCCCACAGTGAGCTGCCAGAAGCAAGAAGGTTGGCATATAAAATGATGGGCTCTAAATGATATCTAATTGATTCAGTAAAGAATATTCAAAGAAGAAGTGATAATGAAATGAAAAATTAAATTTAGTTGACATTTTTCTCTGTAATGTACAAAGTTTTAAAATACTTATTTAAAAATTTTTATCCTTGTTATCTACTTTGTTAATAACAAAATATCTAATGTCACCAACGTATATCTATGTGAGAATCCAGTAATATGTTTCATTTTAAGGGAGCCTGATATACTCTTGAACACCATTGTTTTTTACCCACTTTAATAGTCATTCACATACATCGTTGTGTATCATTATAATTTTTTCCCATAATAGTTTACAATAATTTTAAAGTTTTGTGCCATGCTTTATTAAATCTCTAATTTAATAGTCATATAAATTAATTGGAATAATCAGAGCTTTAATAATATTTGTTGAATCATTGGAAGGATTCAAATAGTATTATATACCTGACTTGCTATTAGTATTGTTGATTATTATTATTATTATCATCATCGATAATCTGTTATTTTCCTTGGCAAGTATGTAGGAATATATGTGGTACAATGGAGAAATAAAAATATTACAATAATATCATAATATGCTCTTTTATGATCTTGGACAAACTTGCACTCAAGAATATGTGTTTCAACAGAATATAATAGTAACATAGTTGTTTTTCTTGGTGAGTACTCTCAAAATATAGCAAACACTTAATAATTTGAAAAATGAAAATGCAGTGATATTATAAACACAGCAGCATATGTACAGCATACAAAATCATAATGACACAGTCCCATACTGAGGGAAGTAGGCAAGATTTTTGATATCTCAGAAATAGCAAGGAGTAGTAAATTCAATAAAAATGAACATAAAATTTGAGATCCATATAGATAACTGAGGTTGGTTCAGTGGACAAGTTCAATTCGATACCTGAGAGTGATTTGCAGCCATTTGGGTTATCAGGTTGTATTTCATACCCATCTGTACAGAGGCATTTGTAGGTCCCGTAAGTATTGATGCATTGCTGGCTACAGGGAAATCCTGAAGAGCATTCATCAATGTCCACACATGTTTTACCATCATCCTTCAGTTGGAATCCAGGCCAGCATTTGCACTGGGGAAAGAAAAATGAGCATTATCAATTCATATCATTGTCACTGTCTTTTGCTATTGGATATACCTTTAGCATGATTCTAGCAAGAAAAGCACTTAACATTAGGTAATGGCAAATCCTTATGTCTTGTAGCAATTAACCTTTAATAAAAATTACATGTAATATTGGAAGTTAAAATTTGAAAAATACACTTTTCCAAATATCTTCATTTGATCTTCTGGGACTGGCAAAATTGCAAAAGTTAATTTGACAGTGCTAAAGCCTTAAGTCTAGAGAAAGGGAAAAGAAAACTCACAACACCTTCATGTTCTTTTGGCCTTTTCTATTGCATCATATTATGTTTTTAGAAGACATCAACAATCATAAGAATGAATCCTTATGTAGATCTTTGAAGGTTTCTAACATTGTCATATGTTGTTTAATCACAGACAGAAATCTATAATGCAGATGTTCTCATCTTTAGTTAACTGATGAGGATGGAAGCATGAAGGTGCCTAGGTGAAGCCAGTAAGAGAGCTGGGACTCACAATTTTAACACACAGTATGTCTCAACTAGTATTTATTAACTGAAGCTGATTCTATACAAAGAGGAGGACACATGAAACTTACCAACTGGTATGTCAACTCTTTGAGTACAAACATCATGCCATATAATTTTTTGATTCCTAAAACTGATAAGTCACTGTGATTGTTCATTGTCTTTGTGTTCTCTTCTTACAATCTAAAAATTATTAGTATTATAGAAAAGGAACCTATAGTTGGCCAAATAATGATTACCATTAATCTACCAAGACTATTCCATGACCTTTGAATAAAGGAATTTGTGAGTACTGAGAAGGACAGTGAGTTAAGAAGAAACTCTCTTAAAGGGACTTGTATTCAAGAGGTGTTCATAGCAAACATTTCATACACTGGAGCATTTGTTTCAGAGTAAAAGAGACGAATCCACTGGGAAAGATATTAGAGTGATATATGTCCACAGTATTAAATAATCAACTACTGATTAATTAAGGGATAGAAGTTTTATATAAGAAAAATGTTCATTATATGGAGGGAAGCAAAAAGATTACATCAACTTTATCTGAATGTGTCCCAAAGAAAAATAATACCTTTCTCCTGATAACTTTTATAAGGTTGAAGCCCTTTAAGCCCTCAGCACTTCCACTTTAACAATTTACATCTGCAATAATCTAATAACACTCATCAATTACAATGGATTATTTAAATTTCTAGAACCCACTGGCAAGCCAGCAAAGAAAAGGTAAAAGCCACAGCATTTTCCCCACCTCGCCCCATTGAATCTAAATTGGTGGCACTTTTATTTTTTTTGAGAAGACCCATGCTGGCAACATGTACTAGGGAGCCACAAGGAACTCGTGCTTATTCTATGGCCAAAGAAAATAAAATGCTTAAAGCCACTGAGCTGTACACTTGAAAACAGTTAAATTGGCAAATTGAATACATTAATAAGAACAAATATATATTTTTTTAAATGAGAAATCTTTCCAGTGATTACTGTAAAGTCCTGGAAATTACATCATATGATCATGTGGCTAGGAAGCCAGAAGTCTGATAGACACAGAGCAGTGTTGGATTAAGAGGCAATATGGAACAAGTGAAATAAATACCATAGAATAGGTTGAAGTCCTCTCAACATTATAAAAAGAAAACACATCTTAATTTCAATAAGGGTTGAAAATTGCTTTGAATGCCTATATCCATAGAAGTACTATATCAAATAGATGTCTTCAATAAAACAAATTTACAGGAAATAAATTTATTGAGAGTAAAATTGGTTAAAGTTATTACAATATACAATTCTATACAAGCAAGTTTAGGTTTATAGTAAATTATGAATTCTTGCTTTTGAAGGAGAGGCATTTAAAAATGATAATTATATCCCAAGCCATTTACGTTATCTTAAAAACATTTTTCCTCCCAAATTATCAAAAGACATCTGTCTATAAGAAATGAAACTAGAATGATAATCATTTCCATTTTTAAAGTTAAAAAGATATGAGATTTGTCTATATTTAATAGAAAAATAGTAGTGTTGAAATATTTTACCTTCACTTAGAAAGAAAATTATTATGAAATAAGATTTAGACTAAATATCTTCTTGGTTTTTCTTACCACCCAGAATTATATCATAGTTTTCAGATTTATGTTATTGTTATAGAAACATATAGCAACCAGGAAAAAAATAGCTACTCAAATTTTTCCTATTGCTTTTAGAAAAAAAATCATGTGCTACTTTTTAAGTGATATTTACAAATATGAATTATTTTATTTTGTAATGAATACATTGAATCTTTTTCCCTACCAAAAGTACACTTATATTTATATGATAAATTATTTTCCCATCAAGCTAAGATCCATACTTTAGTTAAATATTTTAGTTCCTTTTAAGTAGGTAGACATATTGTTTGTTTTACAGCAAATACTCAAATTTTCACAGTCCCAAAATCTAAGTTTTGCTTTTGATGACAATTTTCATTTTACTGCAGAATTGAGAGTATGACTTCTTGTCATGTTCTGCTGATATTGCAAGAGAAATAGGTTACAGAATAGCTTTTCCTATTCCCTGAAAAAGAGAAACCCATTAGTTGATATTTTTCCCCGCTATATGGATTTTGTTGTATGTAGACTTTTTATTCAATTTTCTATTGAAAAATTGCCATACACACACACATGCACATACACACAAATATGTTAAATATTAGATTTGATCCTTCTTTTAAAACTTTTATTTATGGTTCTGTTATCCATTGTAAATTTTTACATTAGTCTTGCTTCTTCCAATAGACGATTTTTAAAAATTCATTAGCTTTGATATGCATGTACACACTTAAGAATATTATTTACAGCATTTCTTCAGGTTTCATATACACACATTTTGGAATGATTAAACAGTTTTGTAAATTTCAGCTAGAATTGGCACTTGATTGTATGAACCCTTTAGAGAAGAGAAAGTATATGCTGATACAATAAACACTCATTTCTTTGTAAGGAATCTTTTAAGTGATTAAAAAGTATGACTTAATATGATTTTATGGATGATATTTTCTTCTACCAAAAATAGTTTTACAAATATGGTATTTCTATGCACTAAGTATCTATATGTTTGAATTTTAAGTAAAAATCTAATTTTTAATGTCATGTCACAAAGTACCCATTTTAAATTCTATAAATTTGATGTTTTACTACCATGATTGTTATGACAGATAATAAATTCATATACAAAAAACTAGAGATATACTTTGAAATTTATCATATAGAATGGACATTTATGCAATAGAACTATTGAATTCTTCATAAACCTGTTGACTTAAAATTATAACTAGTTATCTATAGTAATTCTATAAAAACCATGAAACATATCTATGTAAGTAATTTTTCCTGCTCCCTTGGATTTTAATATATTATTTACTGCCAAAATTAATTWTCTGATGCTTACTCTATTAAGAACTGTCCTGGCTCATTTGGTTTGTTTCCTTCTTCCAATAACAGTATTTGTGAATGAGTGCATGCATGTCTTAGTCCTGTAAATTCAACTACTTCTTAATAAAATACTGTGTCTAAAAACTTAATTATAGGTTTCTTGGGCTGGAGTTGTGGCTCAGAGATAAAGTGCTTGTCTAGCATGCGTGAGGCACTGGGTTTGATCCTCAGCACCACATAAAAAAAATAAAGATATTGTTTAAGTAAAAACATATATATATTTTTTTCTTGCAATGAGTGTACTACCAGTAAAAGGGAAGGATTATTGTAGCTTGTAGGTTAGAACTTTATATGGTGCAAACATTTTTTATTAGTTTATTTGTTCTTTTTAGATATACATGGTAGTAAAGTGTATTTTGAAATATTACACAAACATGGAGTATAACTTATTCTAATTAGGATCCCATTTGGATATTTAGTACAATCTTTATTGATGCGGTTAAGTTAATCATAATACCAGAAGGTCTGAGACCTGAAATAGCAAATTGGTTGTTCAGCTAAATTTGACATTATATAGAACTGGCTTGTCATAGGACTGGCAGAGAAAGCAGTTTGGTCTCACACACATTCTTTATCTCTAGCATTGTTTTAARAAGTTCATTTCACCACTGCAGAAATACATCTAGAGATGATGCATGTACAACAGCTCATTCCAATGTGAAAAGTTCTAATTTTAGAAAATTCTTCTTTTGTTGAACATAATCTAATTTCAAACCCCTAATTCTAATATCTGAAACAACTCAGACCTGGTAAGCTTTCTGTTCTGGAACTTCATATATTTAAATACAGCTAGCAAGTCATTTTTGCTTTAGCCATACTTCTTCCAAAGACCTGTGCTCCAGATCCTTTTGACAAAATATCATGTTCATAAATGTACACAGTATTCTATGTGAGTTCTGAAGGGTACAAACTCAGTAAAACAGAATCAAACTCCAGTAAATGTCTACATAAGAAGTACACTGTTTCTGCATTTTATATAAGTTCTATGCTATTACTAATTTATATAGAAATTCTACTTAGTTAAAAACAAAAGAAAAAAATTTCAAATAACTCACTGAAAAAAAAAAAGTGGTACTGGGGAGTAAACCCTGGGCCTTGCACACTCTAAGCAGGTACCTAGCTGAGTTATACCCCAGTCTATGAATGGATTTCTCTTAATGAGTTCTTCTTTATATCTACATAATTAATTTTAACCTAACCCACAAATTTATATTTCAATCTTGTGTTAGTTTAATACACTAGTTCAACATACTGAAAAAAAGTTGTTTTTAGAAGCTATTTCTTCCTCTCAATTTTGCCAGTGAATCACCCTCTTTAGGGAAATGGTACAGACAAAAAAGCAATTATGCTATTAGGTATGATTTGTTTTTTTCTTTTCTTTCTTTATTTTTTTTAGTGTATCTGCACTCAAAATTAATAGCTCATGTTTTCTAGTTTTTGCTTCTTGCTTATAATAATAAAAAATGTGGTGCTCTGGTATTACACTAAATAAATGATTAGACCATTACCCTTCAAAGATGTACAGGGGTAAAAGAAGGGAAGAAATAAGAAGTTAAGAGTTGCATATAAAATTACATAGCTATTATCATTGTATCTTCATTGAGCAGAGTCTTCCCTTGTCTTTTCTTTCTTTATGTTCTGAATATATTGAAAATTATTTTTTATTCTTTTGTCTTTTTAACTATATTCTCACAACTTTTACACCACACTATTATAATGTTTTCTTTTATAAACACTCATTTTGTAAATAGTTTTACCTAGCAATATTATAATGGCTTTTAAGGTTTACAATTATATTAGACTAGTTTTCATTATCTCAAATCTAAAGTATCACATAAGTTGCTATTTTTGATGATTACCTACCTTGTAACTTACAGGCAGGTCCTGACAATCCTGAGAACATCCACTGACTTTCTTACTCAAACATTCATTTATATGGCAGTTTCTCTCATCTGAACCATCGCCACAGTCATCCTTATTGTCACAAAGACCTCCGCTGGGAATGCACCTGCCATTTTTGCACATAAAAAATGAACTGTTGCATGACTGTTCTGGAAAAAGAAAACAAATGGAATATAAAGGGCATGCCTTTTTATACTATAGTTGGTGAAAATATTCACAAATATAATAACTTATCTGTCAAATTATAATAAATATATTTACACTTAAAATACTCTGTAGTCAGTGAAATATTTTATACATAAAATGTGGAAAACCAAGGGCAAACTATATGCTGATGTTTCACACATACTGCAAATGTAGCTTTACTATGAAAATTAGCAATCAAAATAAGCACCTACGATAAAACTAATGGACTATCTGTCTCATCTGAATTGTGAAGAATGAGTTCAAAAGCATAATGATAGTTTGACATTTTCCTCAAGCTATAGATCTCTGAGAAATTATGTCTCTAAAAATTAAGAATATAGAATAGGTAGACATTTCTAAATACTTTTTCTTCCAGAATATATAACATTGACATTTTTAAGTCAGGGCATAAAAAGGACATTGATGGTGAATGATAGTTGTTCCAAATATAGCAATGGAAAGGAGCTCAGATTTTGCAGTTACTCATAACCAGATGATTTCGGCATTATTTCTCTTATCATACATGTATAAAGAAGTCTWTTAACATATAAACTTCATGAGAAAAAAATTGTTTATTAATTAAAGTTTATTCTAAARTATATGGCTATATATTCATCTTTAGAATAGTAATAGGGAAGAGTGGCTAATATATTTACATTTCTGTGCAAATGACATGCAACTTATTTTACTTTGTCTAGGTGTGGATAATAGACTACTTCTCAGTAAATATTTTTTTTATTTGAATTTTCAATTTTTTTATACATTTATTTATTTATATAGTTATTTTTATGTGGTGCTGAGGATTGAACCCAGGGCCTCACATGTGCTAGGCGAGTGATCTACCACTGAGCCACAACCCCAGCCCTCAAACTTTAATTGATTCATAATGTGCAAGTTTAAAAGTACTATTGAAAAGTATGATAATTTCATTAAATCCTGAACACTTATATATTTGAATTTTCAAAATAGGTCCATGTAGGAAAATTACATTCATATAAACTCTTTTTAAATATTCATTTTGGAGGAAAAGGGGACAGGGTATGCATCCATGAGAATCATTGCCTCAAATCTTCATAGTTTGAGCATATATTTAAATTTTAAAACAGCCTCAGAATGTAGTTGGTTACTAGGATCCTATATGGTATCACTAGAGATATCACATGCTTAATAATTTAAATTTTCTTTCATTGAATACTATACTAGATAGAAAATCATTCATAGTTCTGCCATTAAGAATAAACTTTGGAATAAACATAGCATTATGTATTTTTGTACCTGCACTTCTACACTTTGGATTTAAAGGTGCTTCATCAGAATGGTCAGGGCAGTCAAAGTCCCCATCACATTGCCACTGAGTGTTTAAAAGACATCGCCCATCAGCACAACGAAATTCTTCAATACTACACTCTCGGTATCCTAGAGAACAAGAAATAAGCAGTCTGAATAATTGTGAAAAATATTTTAACAATAAATAGTAATGAAAATTTTATTCCCTCAAACTCACAGCATACTTAATTAATCACAAGTTTACCCATGCCTTCTATGGGAAATATTTTTTTCATTTATTTCTGTTGTAATGGTCACAGTTGTAAGAGATACCTTGTGGTTTGGAAGTAAGTTAGGTCCAGAAAATAAAGTTGGGAGAAAGGTTCTCTGATTAGTAGATGAGCTAACATGAATGTAACACACAGGATTACACCATCTTCCTTCACCTATTGTCTATATCCTAGGGATTTGTCTTAGAATGGAAAACTAAAATGAAATCATTAAAAATTTTCTTCAAAACCAAACTTGGTTAGGTTAGCTATGGTGCCAGAAAATATAAAAGGACTGATTCTGTGCTATAGCACTAGTTGTCAGAAAGCTGTAATGTTTATGTTTGTGAAGAAGCAAAATGTAAAGAAACTGTTTAAATGGAAAAAAAACTTGATTCTTAGAGAGAAAAGAAAAATAACTATTATAATTACCCTATATATTAATTCTTAAAGTCACTTAAAAAGTGTTGTTCAATTTACAAATGAGCTCATCACTTGTTAACATTTGTATCTATTCCTGTTATTAAGTAAGGCCTATTCTGTTTTTTTCTTTAATTTTTTTTCATAGTTGTAGATGGACACAATGCCTTTATTTTATTGGTTATGTGGTGCTAAGGATCAAACTCAGTACCTCAATCTGCTAGGCAAGCACTCTGCCAACAGTACCACAACCGCCACCCCAATTCTGTTTTTAATATTAAACTTTAGAATGGATATTTCCCTCTGTCACTTCTCTTAAAACTTTCTGATAAATCTGGAAGAATCTTTATAGCAAAAAAGAATAAATTTCCAATAAAATATAGTTCGGTAATGAGTATCTACTGGTAAAGYTTATGATCTTGGAAAGGCATAATTAAAAATATCTATAGTTTCCATAATATTTCTTCCCTCTCAGCCCTCTTCACCAGTTTCTTCTCCTTAGTTGACAAATATATGCAAATCTTACCCAGTCCAATAACAATGAAAGTTTCTCTATATACTCCTTAGTACACATCCTCTTTTTTCCTGTACTACCCAATTTTGCCTCCACTGATTATCCCCCCAGTTCATCTTTAGTCAATCAACAACTCACTTCTCTAACATCTAGAGAAGATCTGAAATTCCCCTTGAAGTGAATATACAGCAAGTGGCAAGTGGCAAATTCAAAGGTGTCTCAAAATTTGATATGGCTTTTCTACAGCATTTGATGTTGTTGACCATTCTTCCTTGGAAATAGCTTCTTGGTTTAATATATATAATCCTCTCTCCTGGCCTTCTTTCCAAATATGCTTCTGCTGTTCCCTTCTTTTCTCTTTCTCTAGGAAGTCCTCTGATGTTCTCCCCTAATATATTGCAGGTGAAGCCCTGGCTTCAATTTATGATTTATTAATATCTATTATTCCACATTGTCTGGTTTTCTCATTTTATTATAGCTTGAATGTCACCTTTATGCTGATGACCATCAAGTCAACATTACTGATTCTTATTTAGAACTATCTTTTCACTAACTGTGTAGCTATGTATGATTGCCTAATTAATGCTACATATTTAAAAATATTCAAAATACAGTCTTTACTATATCTCCACTCCTGCATCAGAAAAACTGAACCTCAATCTCCCATGTTACAAAGCTTATTAATAGCAAAATCATCCCAAGTTACCCAAGCTAAAAGTTCACGATTATCCCCCACCTCCAATAATGTATCAACTCTCACACCTTCCATACCTTCCATTCTACCATTTTTAATCTGGTCCTCAACCATAATGTTAACCAGGAGAACTATTTCAGGAATGTGCTAACTAGTTTATTTTCCTTCATGGTTCTCCTCTATGGCAATATTTTCTTATAGTCTACTGAAAAAGATGGATCTAGAACCTATATTTGACTGTGACTTTCTATTCCATTGTTTCAAAATGTATGCTGGCCTCAGAAGTAAAATAACTGAATACACATCATATAAAATAAGATGTCAGACTTTTTCCAATCAAGCTCCAATTGAATTTCTTAATGTCAGCTTAACCATACAGAAGATTAATAGCTATTCCTTAATCTCATCAACTTACAGTTTTTATATATACAACTAGCATTTACCATGTGCCTAGAACTGTTCTACATGCTGAACACATATCAACTCATTCAATTTTTTTGGCTGTATAAGTTAAACATTATTAATATACATGTATTATAAATGAATAAACTGAGGTACAGAAAGGTAAAGCATTTTCTCAATGTCACACAGCTAATAAGTGGTAGATTCAGGAATCCAGGCTACCCAGCAAAAAGATCCAGGCTATTAACCACCATGTAATGCTCTTTATAATCTAAATAAGATTTTTTTTCAAACAAATATGCTTTGTTCATATTCTTTATTGCTTCCTTCAAGAATTACTTTATTGAGCTGGAAGCATGAGAATGCTTTTAATTCAAGTGAAACTGAGGCTGACACAAGAGGACTGAAACTTTAAGGCCAGTTTAGTAATGTAGCAAAACCCTCAGCAACTTAGGGAGACCCTGTCTTAAAAAAAAAAAAATCAAAGACTATGGATATAGCTCAGGGGTACGGCACTCTTGGGTTAAAAAAAAAATAAGAAAATATTATTTTCTCAGCTCTGATCCCATGTACTGGTGTTCTTATTCTTATTTGACAAAGAATATAGAGCAAAGGAGAAGGAGGGGAAGGGAGGAGGCATGGGATAGGAAAGATGGTGGAATGAGTTGGACATCATTACATTAAGTACATGTGTGAAGAAACTAATGGTGTGAAAATACTTTGTATACAACCAGAGACTTGAACTTTTGTGCTCTATATGTGTAATATGAAATAAATTGCATTCTGCTTTCCTATATAACAAATTATAATAAATAATTTAATTTTTAAAAAGAATGGTATTATATTGTCTGTCTGATGTTCTTATTTGTTCTTTAAGTGGAAAACTATGTCTCATTCATCTCCTTATCAACAAAATATGTCTAGAAGAGAGGAGGTATTCAATCAGAAATAACTCTGCTTTCAATTTATTCCTTGAGTTATAATGTAGCTTTTAAAAAATCATATTGAATGCATGACTTAATGGTGAAAAGATCATAAAAACTGATATCCATTGATTTCCAAGTGATTCCTTTCAAAGACCAAGATTTTAGACACTGCACAGTGAGAACACGGGAGTGCACTAAATTTACTACCTTACATATATAAAGTCCATAGATTTGCATTATGTATATTTATTCATGCATATGTATTGAAATATTTTACAGAAACAGTAGGTGCACATGAGATTTCAACTTTAACTGGGCATTTTAATACTGATTTTATCATATAATTACATACGTGCATATATAATATACATAATCATTAAATAAATATGTAAAGATAAATTTCACAGAAATATTAAATATTAACAAATGAGACACATGTAGAAATACAATGTGGAAGAAAATGTTAAGTAACAAGCCTTTTCTGACAATGCTAAGTTGCATTATTTTCTCACTCAAATACCTGATCTGGCTGTAACACTGAACAACCCAGCCAAGTATTGTACAAAACACTTCAAAATACAATAAACAGAGACATTTTTATAGAGATTTTCCAACATGGTCACTGAGTGTTATAAGTACACTACAAGTGGACATGAATTCCAAATGCACGTAAAATTATACTTGAGCTTAAAGAAGTTACTTGTGGTGCAACTAGGTATTACTGAATGTATTGGTCATTAGTATCATTAAGAAAAGTGAAGAAAGAAAGAAGAAAGAGAGAGAGGGAAGGAGGGAGGGAGGGAGGGAAAGGAGAGAGGGGAGGAAGGAAGAAAGGAGTGTTTGATTTTGATTTGTGTAAACCCAGGTTCTTCTGTAAAGGTTTTCTGCCTGAGATCCTCCTCTTTGGGAGCTGGATGTACTCACCACACTGCAGGGACTCATCGGAGCCATCACCACAGTCATCATCATGGTCACACAGGAACTGCTTGGGAATGCACACTTTATTACGGCACATGAAGGTGTTCTCATCACACGTGTTATTGGGAGCTAAGAAAGACATAACGAAATATAGAGTTAGAGGAGCACATATTGTATCATCTCCCATATTAGAATTTAGAAATGAAATAAAATTATGCCTAATAATTCATAGTTATTTAGAAAAAATAAAATTTTGCTTAATTTCCAATATATCAAATTAGTTAACAATGCCATGTATGTAATAGAATGTATTCATATGTAATACATTCTATGTATATATTTCAAAGTTTTAGTATTAATAAATTCCACTCTTAATCCAGAGTGCCCCTGAAATTTGAAGCCATGTAGCAATTGGTAAGCTTTTTAAGAATGAATTCAAATGTTTGTGTGTCAGAAAAGAACTTGGCTAATAACATGGGTGGGTCTTTTCTCTCCTTACACTTGCAGTTATGCTGGTTACATGATAAAAGTGTTGCTTCCTTGTTCAGAAGTAGAACTGAAGAGATCACCAAGTGGTAATGTTTATGACAGAAGTAAAAAGTAAACAAAGAGAGTAGAGAAAGTTATTGTTTTTAAAAAGAAAATATACCTTTTGGGTAAGTGCAAGTATGGAGTATTAAATTTGGTGTGTAAGATCTCTGATGTAATGAGCCCCATTGTAATCACCACAGAAAATTCAAAAAATTGACCCATGAAATGGAACATTGATCCTTTGAGATTAGTAATCCTTGAATGTAGTGCTCCAGCAAGTCCCTAACCAGTGGTGGATCCAAATGTAAAATAAAGCATATGCACAGGACACAAACTTTAATACTATACTCATAGAATCATAGAAGACCTGAAAGGATCATTTAACTTTTTCAGTAATCCTATATCTAAAAGATAAAGGCTATGATAGGATTCAAAGTTAGGACACTTCAAATGTCAATAATTACTATATATTATTGTAGAATGCTGAAAAGAATAATGGTTTGCAGAAAGTGGCTCTGCCAATTGGATTTGTATCCTCAAGGAAGCTATCTACCTTCTTGGGACATCTGTTTCGTTATCTGTTTAATGAGGATAATAAAATCTGTCTGGTAAATTTCTCATAAGAAATAGATATAGTATGTKAAGCAGATCTTCTCATGTCAGATATTCAATGCATTCCCATGTGGTCTTTAATTTCCTACCTATATAGTAATTATTTTTGGCAGATCCCCAAAATCACTTGATGGTAATGTTGTGGGAATTCATTAATGTAAATAAAAAGCACCTATCACAACAACTGGAATATAATGGACGCTGGAAGCAATTTAGTATCTGCCATTCCCCCCATCCTAGCCTAAGCATTTTCCTTCCCATGCAAGAGCCCTCTCTTTGTCCTTTGAGACTTAGACAACATTATCACTTTTTCTTGAAATCTTTCCATGACACTCCCAGGACTCTTGACATAATATTTCGTTGTGGTGACCCTGTATCTTTGACACACAACATTCTCATACTTAAGGTATTATAGTTATTCATTCACATGCTTATCAGTCCTTCATCCTCAGGCAGCCTCAGACTACATGAACCAAGCAATCTCTGCTTTCATCTTAGTAATTACTGAAATAGAGCCATGAGTAGGTAAAACACAAAGGGTTATTTGAATGTAATCAAGTATAATTTACTTTCAATAAATTTAATTTTTAAAACTATAAAGAAGTCACATAGGAGTGACATTAATATCAAAGGACAAGTTAGCATTAATAATAACACCTCTAACTCTGAACTGTGTGACAGTTTTTATAACTCAAGTGAATTATGCCAATTCTAACACATGCATCCTTCTTTAAAACAGTGAGCTACAGTGACTTATTTGGCATTAACACTTGCAGGTCACTGGAGTGCAATTTGCTACATTTTAGCATAATTTACTTAATAGTACCCATGTGGTCCAAAAGTGTTAATATGCTTCCCAGAGTGTTAACTTGCTACAATAGCAACAACATACTGGGACCATCTGGATCCCTGAATTGATGCTTAAACCTTTATTATGTAGCCCTCAGTGGCCCCATCGACCTTTATAGACACACATATCAGTTTCAAGATCAAAGTGAATTATTCTACAACAATAGCATGAGTTCTGTGCAAATAGGCCTATCTCAAAGTTTTCGTTTTCTTTTGTGCTTCAACTGTCCCTGATGTACACACACACTTACCTTAAGGCTTCAAATACAATGTTTTAAAGACATGGAAATAGGCTATTTGTGAGATGATTGGCAGAATACACGTTGAGGAGCAGAATTTGCAGATAAATTTCTGATAAATTGCTCAGCTCAACAGATCCCCTGTGTGACCTTGGGATCTACAATCAAATATTCAGTCCCCTTATCCTCCTGACCATGCAAAGGAACTTATCTAAATTTTTACTATTGAGAATTTCTCTGAAAATTTCCTGAGGTGACCTAGAATCAGAAACTTAGTAAATTGTCTGACCTCCAAAGGTGGTCCTATGATCCCTAGCTTCATTCAGCTATATCCATACTATTTCTACCCGACCCAGGGGTTAATACCCTATTTGTAGCACTAATAGGTGTTTACTGACCTCCTGATCAGTTGTTATCTAAGATCAGAGCAGCTATTTACAGAGTATCTGTCATAGGCAATCTGAAAGCTTTCATGGGGGGTTGGCTGGCATTAAAAAGAAAATGCCAAATCTACTACACTCACACACGTGGTGCAGTTATACTATCTCAGAAGTGCAATGACAAATCTGCAGTCATCTAAATGGTTTTAAAGTGGGTAATATCACTGCACATCTGAAACACTCTGCACAGCTAATTAGAGGGGCTGCTGAACTACCATGGTAACAACGTCCCACCTGATTAGAACTAATACCACCCAAGGGCCCATGGATTAGGAAAGTAAAGGAAAACGTGAAGTGATAAGTACTATGACACAAACATCCAAGGGTTTTGCCAAGAGTTTTCTTTGACAATAGCTGATAAACGTCCATACCACAGCCGGCTGTGGAGAGCTCATCGCTTCCATTTGGACAGTCTCGTTCACCATCACAAAGCCAGTGTCGGGGCACGCAGGCACGAGAGCCCTGGCAGCTGAACATGTCCGCAGCACAGGTGATGGAACCTTAAACACAAAGGAAACATGCTGCTAGGAACAAACACTAGAAAACGTTCACAATTACATTTCCTAATGAAAAGAGGGAAGCAGAAGAATGCTGCTTACAACCAGGAAACTGTAATTATTGGGAATCATCAAACATTATCCTTTTCCCTACAGATGTGTAGAGATTTTCATCCAATACATTCTTTCCTAATTTGTGTTATATCTATTAAAGCTACATGGTAGAAAATAACTTATTTTCTCCTTGTAAAATGTCCCAAATCATAGAAATGTCATAGAATTAGGGACGATCTGGGGCAACATTTTGAAAGATCCGAACTTATAATGATAGGGACCACAATAGTAAGAATCAAGGAAGCATCATTTTTATTGCTTAATATATGTTAGATATTTATCAGAGAAACTCATTTAATTCAGGAAAACCCCTATTCATATCATTTTACAGAAAAGGGAACATAATCTTGAACAAGTTAAAAAGCTTGCAGAAGGCACAAATTTCCCAGGGTTCTACATGGGGCATTGGAATGCCAAAATCCTTTTCATTCTTGAGCATCTCTCTTAATCACTAATGTTATTATTATTCATCCTAAATATGTTGTTAAAAAGAATAAATGTGTCCATGTTCTTTTTGTTTTTACACATCTAATGAACAAAATCTACCTTTTCTCTGCTCTATCAATTCAATGTTCATTTAGCTGTATGATGTTTTCCAAACATATATAGCCAAAACAAAAGCAAAACAATACAAAACAAAAAAGAATGTTGATTTGGACTGTAAATCCAAAGGGTCATAGTTGTTTTCTATTTTCTTCCTAATATAACCATAGGATGATCGTATGTCATATGGCCCCCTCTTATGATATCTCCCTAGACCTTTGAATAGTAATATATCCTGAATATTAAGGGAGTTGTATTTACTTGGATAAATCATTTTATATACAAAATTTTTAATAAAGTGTTGTATATCAACAAATGAACTAAAACAGTTTTTATATTTTTTAATATTTATTTTTTAGTTGTTGTTGGACACAATACCTTTATTTTATTTGTTTATTTTTATGTGGTGCTGAGGATCGAACCCAGGGCCTGGCACATGCTATGCAAGTGCTCTACCACTGAGCGACAACCCAAGCCTGAACTAAAACATTTTATATAAGCAAATAAATAAATATGAATCCAAGCTAACTTTTAATATTTCACTTTCTTATAACAAAATCTGTCAGGAATAGGTGTTTTTAAAAGATAGCTTTAGAATTATTTAAAAATATTTACTACATGGCCAAATTGTACTGTTATATTATGTGTGTATGAACATGCAGCAACAAATTCCTATCCCATTATGTAACACTATTTAAATAAAAATATGGAAAAATAATTCATCAACTGCTTATGCACCCCCTCTCTCCTGTCAATTTACCATCTCCAGGAAGAAAATAAGACTGACTTGATAGATGAAAARTATTTGCTTCTGGACATTTAAAGAAAAGACCAATACACTTTAATTAAATGATTATTAGCCTTTTACTTTTCAGTCCTACAGTTCTTATGAGTAGAAACTGCTTTCCAAAGCAATACTTTCAAAATTGATAGCAGTGGTTTGCCAAAATAAAATCCCCTAGGGGATAAAAAGATAAAACAAACACAAAAACCAAGCCCTGGGGATCTTCTCCCACATAAACGTGTCTGTCCCTGGTATATACTTCTTTTGGAGGACAGGAAGAATAGTATATTGAAAATTCCCCAGGTGATTCAGATTTACTCATTTAATTTAGGGTCAATGCTGCAACAGAATGAGGTTTAACTTTACTGGAAGAAATCAGAAAATAATCATTAAGTAAATGTTCCTTTTATCAAAAAATAAATTTTCCTGCTAAATATTCTGTCTTTATTAGCTTCTCTAATAAAATTCTTCTCTCACAGAAATTATTTTTCTATTATAACTCTTTATTATCTCGAAGCATGCTTGAAGAACATAAAGTGTCATTTTCAATATTATATTCTCAATTCAATGTTCTAATTTCTGCATTACTGAGATTGAGATTTTTTTAACCACATTTTTCTACTAAGGAAGTTGTGATCAATGTGGAACCTCCATGATACCTTCCATTATTATCTTTTCAATTTGTTCCCAAGGTAGTCATAATAGAGAAGTACTGATTTGGCCATGGAGAAATCTAATTCTGCATAACCTTGAAGGAGGCTGATGTCTGAATTTCCTGTCTTTAAAATGAGGGGTATGACTACATAATTACAAAGATCTCTCCTGCTATAAAATGGCATAAGTTTCTTTACAGCTAATTTGTTGTCTCCCATGATAGTGTTCAACAGATTCTGCATTAAGAACATGCCAACACACTGAAGTCAATTGAAAAGAAAATGGACCAAGGGAAAAAACTCATGGCTTCATTCCACAGTTGRCACTACCATCTGGAGACACATCATCTTCCTCGGGGAAAAGAATCCCAAGAGAGAAGAAGGACAAGCTAATGGAATTCCACTTGATCTGTCTTATGTCCTTACTCGATAGCAAACATCGATTGGTGAGAGTCACTACCCTGTTTACTATTTCAGAAATCTAAATTCTGGTTTTACCTCTGTCATTACTAAGTTAGCTTATTAACTTCAGTCCACTTTTTTTTTTTTGTCTCTGTGTTTGTCTTTTCCACTTATCAAAAGATGGAGGTAGATTAGACAATCATTTTCTAAAATGCAATCCTCAATATCCCATTTCAGGATCATTATGTGAGTATTAAAGAATATATACACGAATCTCGGGAAGATGGCGGCAAAGGGAGTGCATCACCCCAGTGCGCTGCGTCACTGAGCGGGAGAAAGACGATGTGAATCAGCTGAAGGCTATCTTGTTGGGAATTTCCAGTGAAATTGAGGTGCTCCAGAATCTAGTGGACAGATTTCCATTGTGCGAGATTCAGCTGTGGGAGCTCCATTTCTCCGCACGGAGGGTCGCATAGCCTGATAGCC